TGTTTTAGCCTCCATGCCTTTAAATTTTACTCTCTCCCATTTCCCAGTACAAAACTACAGGCAGTAGTTTTAAATTATATAGCATAAGTAGTAATAACATTTGGGGAGAGAAAGAAGCAGCCGACATGCTTCAGCCTAGTTGCTTCTCTGCTTTTACACCGTGGAGGAAACCAGGCAGCCCTACTTGCTCCCGGCTTCTCCTCCGACCTGCCCTCCACTCACCGTCCAGCTGATGCTTTAGCCCCGGGAAGAGCATGCATGCCACCCTCCACACCTCCATTCTTCCATGGATGAGCTGGAAGAGGAAGGTCCTCTCCTCTCCTCTCCTCTCCATCCTTTCTAGCAATACTCGATGGTTTTAACACAGTTTCACTCATCAGCTCCCTCTCCGCTTGGATGTAGGTGTGTGTAGTTGTACTTCTCTCTGCATATATATCTGCATCTATATAATCTTATCCCTAAAACCTCCAACTGTACGGTGGATATAAAAAGTCTACACACTCTTGTACCATGCTAGGTTTTTGAGATGTAATTCCATGGATGAAGGATCGAGTAGAGAGGTTGGGAACAGAGAGGAGGCGGGGAGGAGGTGGATGAATGCAGCCTGGAGAGAAGGGGTTCGGTATGGGACGAGTGTGACAGAATCTGGTACAGCGCAGGAGCTCAGCATGTGTGAGTTTGCAGAGAAGTTCGATAAGAATGAGGAAGGGGGGAGGAAAGCTGCAACACAGGTGGTTAGGAAGAGAAATGGGGGGAGTGAACAACAAGGAGGTGTCCTGCGTACAAAATTAAATCCCCCCCTAGTGTACGAGCAAGAAAGTGCAAGAACAAGGGTGAGGGAAAGGGAAGCAGGAACGTGACAGCTTGTGATACGATGATTAGAACTCAAACGCAGGAGGCTCGATTGGGCCTGATTACAAGGTCCAGGAGCTGGGTGCAAAAGGCACCACTCCTATAAGTAGCCATCCCATCTACTGCATGTTACCCTGATGATGCTGGCAGTGAGCCGGCGAAAGCTTGGTGTTTTAAATTTTATTAAAACTTTTTACAGTTTTAAAAGAATTTCCTGGTGGTCTTACAATTTGTGATTACCGAATGTATAAACTGTACAATTCAATTGAAAAACATATTTTTTTGAGGAAAAATAATAAGAAACCTACAATAACGTGGTTTCATAAAGATGCGCACCCTTAAACTAATTCTTTCTTGAAGCTCTTTTTGATTTTATCACAGCATGCAGGCTTTTGAGATAGGAGCCTGGCACATTATTCCCTTGGGAATCTTTGCAAATCGCTCCAAATCTGTCAGGTTGGGAGGGTCATGCTTCTGTTAATAGGATGAAGCTGACAACTATATATGGATGCACACAGAAATACTTCAGGAAGTTTTAGGGCGCAGCACCTGCTAATCTTATGAAGCTAAGTAGGGTGAAGCTTCACTCTTACAGCTTCAATCATTTGCCGAGACAGGTTTTGAGGAGTTATCTTGCACCCCCCAAGAAAATGAAAAACTGCCTGGAACCATGGTCACCAGCCTCAAAGGAAGATGTAATTTCTCCTTGGTTCTTCTACATCGTTTCCCCTTACATGATTTATACTTTCCTTTGGTTTCGTTGAAGGAAAGGGGCAATGACTGCACTCTTGGGAGACCTGAAATAAAAGGTTTGAGAGAGATCCTCAGGGAGAAAACCTATCGATGCGTTCGGTGGCAGAGAAATACGACTTGATGGTAGATAAGCCCGGAATCAATGAAAACATCTTGCCAAAGCTTGAGGGTAGAGATAGGACGAGCGTGATTTTCAGCCTTATGTCGCTAGATGACGCTCTACAAATGGGGAACACGCATGCCTAAAAAGCAGAGAATAGAATATAGCAGTGGCACCGCCAGTGCTAATATGGTATGGGAGGGAGAGAGGCTGAGCTGGAACAAATTAAAGGGGGAAAGCTAGATCTTCCTTGCTTTACGGAAGACTAGGAGGATAAAGGCCTGTGACACTTCAGGGGGAAGAGTGTCTCACAGGGCAGGGTCTGCAACGGAAAAGGCTCACTTCCTAGCTATCAGACGGCAATATTTAAGGGAAAGGATAGGAGCGTTTCCACCCTATCTGACCTGGTAGAACAGATGGATGCAGAAATAATAAAAGTGGAACACTGATGATGTCAACGCTGCAAATACTGTATATTCTTGCTTTGACAATATGCAGAACTGTCTGGTATTTATATAGTTAAACCAGCAACTGGGAAAGAGGGAGGAGCATAAGGATAGCCTGGGAGAAAGAAACGGGAAGTAAATCATATCTTCCAAGTTGATTGGAAGATGTGAACCATGACCCCAAAATAAGGGAGTGGGAAATGCTTAGGATTATATGCGTAACGGAAGAGAAGCCAGACCTAAGCATTTCCACCATGCTGTACTGACGTCTCTGTAACCTTAATAAATGCTTTTAGGAAAAATATGCCTGAAAGTCCTTTTAAGTGTTTCGTTAATCAGACACATGACAGATGACAGATACCCTGTTGGCTCCATGGTTAGAAGGCAGTATGGCCAGCTGACTCTGCCCACAAGCTGGAATTTGATCCTGACGGGGCTCGAGGTTGACTCAGCCTTCCATCCTTCTGACTTCGGTAAAATGAGGACCCAGATTATTGGGGGAATATTGTATCTCTGTAAACTGAGAGTGCTATAAAGCACTGTGGGGTGCTATATATAAATTCTCAGTGCTATTGCTATAAGAAAGAAATGGCTTTAAAGGTGATGACCTTGAATTGCACCTGTAAAGGAACAGATACGGAGCAGCTCGCATCACAAAGATGTTTCATAGACAACTTAGGGTCTCCCATTGTTCCTTCCGCTGCTGCGTTCTGGACCAGCTGAAGTTTCTAGGTCAGGCTTGTCAAACTCGCAATGTGACGTGACATCGCACGACATATTGTGACTTTTCCCCCAATGCTGGCAATTCGGTGGGCGTGGTTTCGGCGTGACGCATCCAGCCCATGGACCGGAAGTTTGACATGCCTGTTCTAGGTGATCCAGGGCACTGATCCAAACAGGAGGTGACCGAGACATGAGTGACCCGTGTTGCAAGACCTCCCTGGTCCAGGAAAGGGCACAATTGGTGCACCGGATGAATCTGTGCAAAGCGCTTCCTCCACCTATGATCTCAAGCAGGAACTGGGAGTCCAGGAGGACCCCCAGGTTGTGCACGAGCTGTCGACAAAGGAGATCACATGACCCCAGGACACTGAAACCGCCCCAAATACGAGTCAATTGCCAAGACGCTCAATTTTGATCATGTGACAAGGGGGTTGCTGCAATGGTTGCAAGTGCGAAAAATGGTCACTTTTCTTCGGTGCTGTTGTAGCTTTAAATAGTCGCTAAGTGAAATGTTACAAGTCCAGGACTACCTGTACATAGTTGGGTGTCATAGGATGGGTGGCCTCCCCTAGCGGCTTCATGTAGATCAGGGGTAGTCAACCTTGGCTCTTTTATGACTCATGGACTTCAACTCCCAGAATTCCTGAGCCAGCATGGCTCAGCTTGGAAACCTCTCCCTTTCCCCTCAGCATGGCTGGCTCAGGAATTCTGGGAGTTGAAGTCCACGAGTCATAAAAGAGCCAAGGTTGCCTACCCCTGATGTAGATATTAAAAAGGAGCAAGAATGGCGCCAGGCATGAACGTACTTAGTAAGGCCAGGAGGGTTGGTTAAACTTCTAATTTGAACAAAAGCAGGAATCTCCTTTTTGAGACTCCCAGACCATCCAAACGCCATCAGCCTTGCTAGAAGGGCCCTGTATTTGAGGGCAGGTATATGTTAAATGTGGAGGCTTTGAATTTTACCCTTTGCGTTGTATGGGGCTTATTGGTTTCTATTAAGGTTTAATTGCTGAAAACCGAGTGGAGTCACCACGAGTTGGGCTGCCGTATACATTTTCTTAATAAATAAAAATGCATACAAACATATTTTATATCCCTCTTTATTATACAGAAAAATAACTGAAGGCAACAAACATACATAATATAGACTCAAGCGCCTTTCTTGTGGCCCAGCAGCCCAATTGCCCTCAATTCCGTGAAAGGGAAGGACTGCACTGGGCCAGAGACAGGAAGCTCAGATCAGAGAAAGGAAAGAGAAAGAACAAAGGAAGCAAAAGGAAGCTCAGATCAGAGGCTTGCAGGCTAAAACATATGGAGAAATGGGCATCACTAGTCTAGTGAAGAGGAGGACCAGGAATCTCCCAGTATTTGAGGGACTGTCACAGAGAGGAGCGGGACAACCTATTTTCCAAAGCACCCAAAGACAAGGAACAATGGATGGAAATAGCTTGCCTTCCGAAGTTGTGGGTGCTTCATCACTGGAGGCTTTCTAGTAGAGACTGGATAGCCCCTTGTCAGAAATGGTGCAGGGTCTCCTGCTTGAGCAGGGGGTGGGAGTAGATGACACACAAGGTGCCTTTCAACTCTGTAATTTAATTCCATTCTATTCTTTTTCTCCCTCATTTTTGATACTAAGACATATGTCACTAAAAAGAATCATGGAAGAAAGTAAATGGTTAATTGCTCAGCTGGGCTTCCAGAGAAAAGAAACAAAATACTAGATTCCTCTACACCAGTGGTTCTCAACCTGTGGGTCCGGACCCCATTTGGGGTCGAATGACCATTTCATGGGGGTCGCCAAGCAAGGCTGTCCGCCATTTTTTTTTCCCTTTTCCGGCGGGTGCCTTACCTCCCTTGGGCTGGGCCAGCTGGTGGTCGGCCTGCTCCGTCTCTGCCGCTTGCCAGCTACGCCTCGGCCGGCGCAGGGGGCGGAACCACGCATGCGCAGCGCTCCCGGGCAGGGAAAGTCCTCGACTTACGACCGGTTGAGTAGTCCTCAACTTACGACTGGTTTAGTCCTCGACTTACGACCTGTTGGGGTCACGGCATTAAAAAGGTTGAGAACCACTGCTCTACACATATCAAATTTTGCCTTGTATCTGCAATCTAGGTGTTTGAATGGCTACTCCTCTATGTGTAACCTTACATGATTTAAAAGACTAGAACTAGTACTGAAATCTTTCCCACAAACCGGACATTCATACGGTTTCACTCCTGTGTGAGTCCTCCACTGTATCACCAAACTGGAATTCCGACTGAAACTTTTCCCACATTTGACACCCTACTATGGATAATAATAATAATAATAATAATAATAATAATAATAATAATAATAATAATAATAATGTTGGACGAGACCTTGGAGGTTTGTCCAACCCCCTGCTCATGCAGGAAACCCTATACCTTATTAGACAAATGGTTGTCCCATCTCTTCTTAAAAACCTCCAGTCTTAGAACATTCACAACTTCTGGAGGCATGTTGTTCCACTGTTTAATTGTTCTGACAGGAAATTTCTTCTTAGTTTTACATTGCTTCTCTCTTTGATTAGTTTCCATCCACTGCTTCTTGTCTTGCCTTCAGGTGCTTTGGAGATTAGCTTGACTCCCTCTTCTTTGTGGCAGCCACTGAGATATAGGAACACTGCTATCGTGTCCCCCCTCGTCCTTCTCTTCATTAAGTTAGGACATACCCAATTCCAGCAACTGTTCTTTATATATTTTAGCCTCCAGTCCCCTAATCCAGAGGTCCCCAACCTTTTGGGCACTCGGGATTGTTGTCTGTGGAGAGAGGTTTTTCCATGGATCGGAGGGGGCGTGGTTTCATGTCCTGCCTGCATCCTGTGCATGGGGCTTTGCTTGTTTACACGGCCTGGTGTCAGGCATGCCGTGGCCTGGTGCCGGTCCACGGACTGGGGATTAGAGACCCCTGCCTTAATTATACTTGTTGCTCTTCTCTGTACTCTTTCTAGAGTCTCAATATCTTTTTTACATTGTGGTGACCAAAACTGGATGCAGTATTCCAAATATGGCCTTACCAAGGCATTGTAAAGTGGTATTAACACTTCACGTGATCTTGATTCTATCCCTGTTAATGCAGCCTAGCACTGTGTTGGCTTTTGTGGCAGCTGCAGCACACTGCTGACTCATAATTATGTGATTGTCCACTTGAGTTACTAATCCCTCTCACAGTTACTAATATTGAGCAAGCTACCACCTATACCAAGGGTCGGCAACCTTAAACACTCTGATTCACTTGGACCCGTTTCCCACAGAAAACACTGGGAGCCACAAAACCCTTTTGACATCTAAAATGAAGATAACACTGCATATACCACTGATGGCGAACCTTTTAGAGACCGAGAGCCCAAACTGCAACCCAAAACCCACTTATGCATCGTCAAGTGCCGGGTGGGTATGGCCCATTGGCTGGGCGTGGCCCATTGGCTGGGCGTGGCTGCGGTGGTAACGGCAGACTGGGTGGGACTAAAAGGTTCAATCAATCAATTCCAACTTTGCAAGATTTTTTTTCCCACTAAAAGTTGAAATTGACTGATTGATTGAACCTTTTTTTTTGTTTTTTGCACACAGTGGCGGAGGCCTAAAGCGAAAAGGTTTTATAAAACCCAGCTGAAGGCCTAGGACTGGGGAGACGGCACGCGTGCCCACAGAGAGGGCTCTGAGTGCTGCCTCTGGCACCCGTGCCATAGGTTCGCCACCACTGGCATATACCTTTATGCTATGTATAAAAAAACAATAGTGTCGCATTTATGAAATCAATAGACTGCTCTCTCCCTTCCCCTCCCTCTCCCTCCCCTCCCACCAGCCTCTGCTGCAGTTCACATGCTCTCTTTCTGCCAAATGACACTGCCAAATGACTAGCCCCCGCCACTCCTGCCGTAGCCCGTCCGCTTCTCCCTCACACTCATTGCACCCCTTTCACCAGAATCCCCCATATAAAGTTAGATGAGGCCCGCCGGTCAAGAAGGGCGCACCAGGTCAGTGGGAGTTGGCCAGGGCAGCGGCCACCCGGAGGTGCAGCCAGGCCCAGGGCAAGTGGTGCTGGCGGGCAGTGGGGGGAGGGAGAGGAGAGAGAGCTGGAGCCCCAGTTCTTTGCCCAGAGATGCTGCTTCCTTTCGGCCACCGGACTGGGCTTTGGCCGCGGACTAGCGGAGAAGCCATCATGAAGCGGGTGGTTTCTGTCCAGGCCCCAGGCAGGAATCTTCCGCAACAGGGAGGGGAGGGAAGGGGAGCACCCCGGGGCAGAGACCGAAGCAGGTAGCAGTTTTCACAGCCCCTCAGAAACAGCAGGCAGGCAGGGAAAGGAGCCGAGGGAAGGAGGGCTGGAGGGCAGCAGCAAGAGCCCAACACGGAATGTATTGGACATAAAGCAAGGCTGGGAGCCAGGCTGTGGAACATCTGAGGCCAGCTACTCTCCCCACAGCCGGTGAGAACCATAGTGACAGCACGAGGCGTCCACCTCATTCACGCCCTGGAGCGCGAGAAAGGTGGCTAGAAGCGGCGGCGGCAGCGTCTTCCCACTTGATAAGGCTGATGCAAGGTAAAGGCGCTGTGGGCTCAATTCCAGCTACCCCCCCTTCTACCCGGACTGCTCCTTCAGTTACTCGGGCGTGGTAGCCCCCTCCTCTTCGAGAAGCCTCATCCAACTCTACGTGAGGGAGTGCGGAAGACGACAAGAGCATGAGGCCAGGTGAGAATATCGGCGATGGTGGCATGGTGGCTGGGGAGGGGGGATCATGGCAGTGGCATTGGCAGCTCCCCCCACCCAGCCCATTTCCCCAGCCAGCTCCATATGATGCTGGCAGAACTCCCCCTCCCTGAACACCTCATCTGACCCACGACACTTATATAGTTTCTCTCCTGTGTGAGTCCTCTGATGTATCACAAGGCAGGAATTCTGACTGAAACCACAATCTGGACACTCTTATGGTTTCTCTCCTGTGTGAGTCCTCTGATGTTTCACCAGCTGATATTTCCAAGAGAAATTTTTCCCACAATCAGAGCATTCATACGGTTTCTCTCCCGTGTGAGTTCTCTGGTGTATCACAAGGCAGGAATTCTGACTGAAACATTTCCCACAATCTGGACACTCATATGGTTTCTCTCCTGTGTGAGTCCTCTGATGTTTCACCAGGTAGGAATTCCAACTGAAACTTTCCTCACAATCTCGGCACCGATATGGTTTCTCTCCTGTGTGAGTTCTCTGGTGGCTCAACAGGTGGGAATTCTGACTGAAACCTTTCCCACAATACACTCATGTGGTTTCTCTCCTGTATGAGTTCTATTGTGGCTTACCAGGTGGGAATTCTGACTGAAACTTTTCCCACAATACAGACTCATATGGTTTCTCTCCTTTGTGAGTTCTCTGGTGTCTCACCAGCATGAAATTCGAATTGAATCTATTCCCACACTCTGGGCACCGATACGGTTTCTTTCCTGTGTGAGTCCTTTGATGATTAACCAGGTCAGATTTCCGAGAGAAACCCTTCCCACACTCTGGGCACTCATACGGTTTCTCTCCTGTGTGAGTCCTCTGGTGTTTCACCATGTTGGAACTCTGACTGAAACCTTTCCCACACTGTGGGCACTCATACGGTTTCTCTCCTGTGTGAGTCCTTTGATGTTTAAGCAGGTCAGATTTCCGAGAGAAATCTTTCCCACACTCTGGGCATTCATACGGTTTCTCTCCTGTGTGTGTCCTCTGGTGTATCATCATGTAGGAACTCTCTCTGAAACATTTCCCACACTCTGGGCATTCATATGGTTTCTCTCCTGTGTGAGTCCTTTGATGATTAACCAGATCATATTTCTGAGAGAAATCTTTCTCACAATCAGGGCACTCATATGGTTTCTCTCCTGTGTGAGTTCTCTTGTGCCTTACCAGGTGGGAATTCTGACTGAAACTTTTCCCACAATACAGACACTCATATGGTTTCTGTCCTGTGTGAGTTCTCTGGTGTCTCACCAGCATGAAATTCGAATTGAATCTATTCCCACACTCTGGGCACTGATACGGTTTCTCTCCTGTGTGAGTCCTTTGATGATTAACCAGGTGAGATTTCCGAGAGAAACCTTTCCCACACTCTGGGCACTCATACGGTTTCTCTCCTGTGTGAGTCCTCTGGTGCATCATCAGGTTGGAACTCGTACTGAAACCTTTCCCACACTGTGGGCACTCATACGGTTTCTCTCCTGTGTGAGTCCTTTGATGATCAACCAGGTAAGATTTTGAAGAGAAACCTTTCCCACACTTTGGGCACTCATACGGTTTCTCTCCTGTATGAGTCCTCTGGTGTATCATCATGTAGGAACTATCTCTGAAACATTTCCCACACTCTGGGCATTCATACGGTTTCTCTCCTGTGTGAGTCCTTTGGTGATCAACCAGGTAAGATTTCCGAGAGAAATCTTTCCCACAATCAGGGCACTCATATGGTTTCTCTCCTGTGTGAGTTCTCTTGTGGCTTACCAGGTGGGAATTATGACTGAAACTTTTCCCACAATACAGACACTCATATGGTTTCTGTCCTGTGTGAGTTCTCTGGTGTCTCACCAGCATGAAATTCGAATTAAATCTATTCCCACACTCTGGGCACTGATACGGTTTCTCTCCTGTGTGAATCCTTTGATGTTTAAGCAGGTCAGATTTTTGAGAGAAATCTTTCCCACAATCAGGGCACTCATACGGTTTCTCTCCTGTGTGAGTCATCTGGTGTTCCACAAGACGGGAATTCCAACTGAAACTTTCCCCACAATCTGGACACTCATGTGGTTTCTTTCCTGTGTGAGTTCTCTTACGTCTCACCATATTAGTGGTGAATGCTAAATCTTTTATCACATTCGGAGCACTGGTAGAGCTTCTCTCCAGTATGGGTCCTTCCATGAATCATGAGGAAGCCATTCTGAGTAAGATTTTGGCCACTCTCCCAATATCTGTATCACATTTCAGTGGGTGGATTGTCTTGTGCATAATTAGCTGTGATCTGCAACCTCTATTTTCGCACTTTAGGCAGTCTGTGGGTTTTTTCCCCCCAATTCTTGGATTCTTGAGGAGGCCAAAAATGTTTCTAAGCTCTTACTTGGAGGTTCTTTGAGTCAAGCTTCTCATTCTCTGTTGTCCAGAGTGCTCTTCTTGGCATCCTCTTTGTCTGTAAGATTCACATTAATGCATTAGTTTCATTATTGTTCAACAAATGGCCGCAGGACATGTAAAAGCAGCAAAAAAAAAAACCCTCAACAAACCCATATATTACAATGAAAACATCAAAATTCTAGTTTAACCTCTAACATTTTTTATGATATATTTGGCACACAGAAGACTAGGAAAATTCAAGTTCAAATATTGATTCAATTATAAAATTCTCTTTTTGGCTTGGATAGATATACGTACACATATTCTCACAGAAATAGACATCTATCAATTTATGTATTTCGGTGTGCATATGCGTCCGTATATCAATCAGAATAGAGCTGGAAAGCACCTTGTAGGTCTCCCAGGCCAACCGCTGCTCAAGCTGGAGACCATGTACCGTTTCAGACAACTGGCTGTCCAATCTTTTCTTAAAAACCTCCATGATGAAGCACTCATAACTTTTTTTTCTTGGTTAAATAATGTTATTCACTTGACTTCTAACTCCCTCTGTTGCAGTAAAATGAGGCATGAACATACAACCGGTCAATTTCATCCTCTTCAGCACGTGGTTGGGGCATAGATTTGGACTACTGTGATATTGAATGGTTTGCCTTGGATTCGAATTGAGATCATTCTGTCATTTTGGGGATTGTATCCCAGTATTGCTTTTCCTATTCTTTTATTGACTATGAAGGCTACTCCATTTCTTCTGAGGGATTCTTGCCTGCAGTAGTATACCTGATGGTCATCTGAGTTAAATTCACCCATTCCTGTCCATTTTAGTTTGCTGATTCCTAAGATGTTGATGTTCAGTCTTGTCATCTCTTTTTTGACTACGTCTAGCTTGCCTTGATTCATGGATCTTACATTCCAGATTCCTATGGAGAAAAGATCTTTACAGCATCGGACTTTCCTTTCACCACCAGATGCATCCACAGCTGAGCGTCCTTTCGGCTTTGGCCCAGTCGCTTCATTCTTTCTGGCGCTACTAGTACTAGCCCTCTGCTCTTCCCCAGTAGCATATTGGACACCTTCCGACCTGAGGGGCTCATCTTCCAGCGTCATATCTTTTTGCCTTTTAGTACGGTCCATGGGGTTTTCATGGCAAAGATACTGGAGTGGTTTGCCATTTCCTTCTCCAGTGGATCACATTTTGTCAGAATTCTCTACTATGACCTGTCCGTCTTGGGTGGCCCTGCACGGCATAGCTCATAGCTTCATGAAGAGGATGAAATTGACCGGTTCTATGAAGCCCTACAGCACCTTATAGAATTAACACCCCAAAATGATGTCCTTATCATCATGGGGGATTGGAATGCTAAAGTAGGAAGCCAAAAGATAACCGGAATAACAGGCAAGTTTGGCCTTGGAGTACAAAATGAAGCAGGGCACAGGCTGATAGAATTTTGTCAAGAGAATACGATGGTCATAACAAACACTCTTTTCCAACAACCCAAGAGACGGCTCTACACATGGGCATCACCAGGCAGTCAACATAGAAATCAGATTGACTATGTGCTCTGCAGCCAAAGATGGAGAAGCTCTATACAGTCAGTAAAAACAAGACCAGGAGCTGACTGTGGCTCAGATCATGAGCTTCTCATTGCAAAATTTAGGCTTAAATTGAAGAAAGTAGGGAAAAGTACTAGGCCACTCAGGCATGAACTAAATCATATTCCTGATGAATATACAATAGAGGTGACAAGTAGATTTAAGGAATTAGATCTGATAGACAGAATGCCTGAAGAACTATGGACGGAAGTTCGCAACATTGTACAAGAGGTAGCAACTAAAACCATCCCAAAGAAAAAGAAATGCAAGAAAGCAAAATGGCTGTCTGAGGAAGCTTTGCAAATAGCTGAGGAAAGAAGGGAAGCGAAAGGCAAAGGACAAAGATACACCCAATTGAATGCAGAATTCCAGAGAATAGCTAGAAGAGATAAGAATACCTTCTTAAATGAACAGTGCAAAGAAATAGAAGAAAACAACAGAATAGGGAGGACCAGAGATCTCTTCAAGAAAATTGGAGATATGAAGGGAACGTTTCATGCAAAGATGGGCATGATAAAGGACCAAAATGGCAGGGACCTNAAAGAAAGGCAATGCCAAAGAATGTTCAAACTATCGCACCATTGCACTCATTTCACATGCTAGTAAAGTTATGCTTAAAATCCTACAAGCTAGACTCCAGCAGTATGTGGATCGAGAACTACCAGAAGTACAGGCAGGATTTCGAAGAGGCAGAGGAACTAGAGATCAAATTGCCAACATACGCTGGATCATGGAGAAACCTAGGGAGTTTTAGAAAAACATCTACTTCTGCTTCATTGACTATGCTAAAGCCTTTGATTGTGTGGATCACAACAAATTGTGGCAAGTTCTTAAAGAGATGGGAGTACCAGACCATCTTATTTGTCTCTTGAGAAATCTATATGCAGGTCAAGAAGGAACAGTGAGAACTGGACATGGAACCACTGATTGGTTCAAAATTGGGAAAGGAGTCCGGCAAGGCTGTATACTGTCGCCCTGCCTATTTAACTTATATGCAGAGCACATCACGAGAAAGGCAGGGCTAGATGAATCAAAAGTTGGAATTAAGATTGCCGGGAGAAATATCAACAACCTAAGATATGCAGATGATACCACTCTAATGGCAGAAAGTGAAGAGGAACTAAACAGCCTCTTGATGCGGGTGAAGAAGGAGAGTGCAAAAGTTGGCTTGAAACTCAACATTAAGAAAACCAAGATCATGGCATCCGGCCCTCTCAATTCCTGGCAAATAGATGGGGAAGAAATGGAGGTAGTGACAGATTTTATCTTCCTGGGCTCCAAGTTCACCTCAGATGGGGACTGCAGCCAAGAAATTAAAAGACGCTTGCTCCTGGGGAGGAAAGTTATGGCAAATCTAGACAGCATACTAAAAAGCAGAGACATCACCCTGCCAACAAAAGTGTGTATAGTCAAGGCCATGGTTTTCACAGTTGCAATATATGGATGTGAAAGCTGGACCATAAGAAAGGCTGAGCGACAAAGAATTGAGGCCTTTGAACTATGGTGCTGGAGAAGACTCCTGTGAATCCCCTGGACTGCAAGGCGATCAAACCGGTCAGTCCTAGAGGAGATCAACCCTGACTGCTCTTTAGAAGGCCAGATCCTGAAGTTGAAACTTAAATACTTTGGCCACCTAATGAGAAGGAAGGACTCACTGAAGAAGGGCCTAATGCTGGGAAAGATTGAGGGCAATAGAAGAAGGGGACAACAGAGAATGAGGTGGCTGGATGGAGTCACTGAAGCAGTAGGTGTGAACTTAAATGGACTCCAGAAGATGGTAGAGGACAGGAAGACCTGGAGGAATGCTGTCCATGGGGTCGCGATGGATCGGACACGACTTTGCAATTAACAACAACAACAAGTAGTATAACTAGCCGTTTCTGTATCAACAAAACAATCATCAGTAAAACCCAAAATCATGGTATCATTTTCTTCCACCTCAAGGACAAAGTCCAGAAGCAGTTTCCAAGCAGAAACAAAAGTACTTATATTCTTTTCTTTTATCAAAACAGTAAATTGATTCATCTCTGCTAATTCCATCAGTTTTGCAGCCATTCGTCCATGATAGGATTCGAGCACCCTTCCATTTTTGTGCATATTTCAGTCTTGCTGCCGTCACCATATATAAAATCAGAGTTTTGAATTTTCTTTCCATGTCCTTTTACATTAGGCCCAGAAGGAAGGATTCTGGTTTAATAATTATATTTAAGAATTTTCTGCATTAAAATATGAATCCCACTCAAAATATTTCTTTAATTTATCACATGTCCAAGCATCCACAACTTCTGAAGGCAAGCTGTTCCACTACTTGTTCTCACTGTTAGGAAATTTCTCCTTAATTCCAGGTTGCTTCTCTCCTTGATTAGTTTTCCCCCCATTGTTTCTTGTCCTGCTTTCTGGTACTTTAGAAAATAAACTGATCCCCTGCTCTTTGTGGCAGACCCTCAAATACTGGAATACTGCTATCATGTCCCCCCCCCCCAATCCTCCTTTTCTCTAGACTGCTCAAACCCAAATCCTGCAACCGTTGTTCATACGTTTTAGCCTCCAGGCCTTTATATTTTACTTTCTCCCCTTTCCCAGCACAAAATTACTGGCAGAGGTTTTAAATTATACAGCATAAGTAGTAATAACATTTGGGGAGAGAAAGAAGCAGCCGACATGCTTCAGCCTAGTTGCTTCTCTGCTTTTACACCGTGGAGGAAACCAGGCAGCCCTACTTGCTCCCGGCTTCTCCTCCGACCTGCCCTCCACTCACCGTCTAGCTGATGCTTTAGCCCCGGGAAGAGCATGCATGCCACCCTCCATGCCTCCATTCTTTCATGGATGAGCCGGAAGAGGAAGTTCCTCTCCTCCTCTCCTCGACATCCTTTCTAGCAATACTCGATGGATTTCACGCCCTTCAGCTGCGCCTGTGGTTGGTTGGATGTCGGATCTCAGCCACAGCCGATGCCGCTATTAGATTGACGGTTCTCCTGGCGCTGTTGTTGTGTTAGAGCTCCACCTAGTGACAGGAGGCTGAAATTACGCTCATTCTGTCTCTAAATGGAGTTTCTAGGGCAGTGTTTCTCAACCTTGACAATTTTAAGGCATGTGGACTTCAACTCCCAGAATTCCACAGCCAG